CAGAGGCTGAAAAACAAGAAGCCCTTTTTTGACATGTTGGGCAACATCCTCTTATATAAACACAAGCATATTTCTATTAGATATTTTTAGCTATGTGCAGCTAAGCTAATCTGATAAAGTTTCACAAGATTGACTCAAAATACATGGTTTGGTCAAGTAAGTACCGGTATGTGTTTGTTTATATAAAGTTATACTATAATTATATAAAAGTACATTAAGTCTGGAGGAGCGAGTAGGTGAATGAGAGGGGGAAAGAGAGAGAGAGCAAGATCATGAGGGCTGTCTTTTCAGATGGTTATCCCATGGTTTCTGAACTCCACTGGCATCCAAACCAGGAAAACTGTTTTCTTTGGCAAACACTGAGTATCTCTCTCCCCCTTTCTCTCTCTCTCTCACTCCCTCTCTGGAGAGGGTGCTCTCATGCACACACTCCATTCTCCCCTCCTTTCCCTTGTTGCGAAACTTAAACCTCCCTCACCACAAACACAAACACAAACACATTGTGCAAAAAAGAAGTAATATTGGTTTCAGTGTTCCAAAGAAAAATGAATATTTGACCATAAAAACAAACAAAACCATGAGAGGAAGGGAAAACAAACAGATTATGTGGGCATGCCACTTTGTCAAGAGACAAATGCTAATTTGACAGACCGACAGGGCCTCTTTTTTCACAGGATGGGGAGTGTTTGGCCCTGTTCCATGTCAGAGTTGGCTGATGCACCAGGCTCTGAGTGTGGAACACATGGTTGGCTCAGAGCAGTGAAGTAGGGTGATCTGCAAACACACTGATCAACAACAAAAATCATTGACAATAAGAAACAGTTATTTTTGGGTATGGGATTGATTTTGAAGGGACTCCCACCAGTTCTTTTTTTTTTATTCAAGGCAAAATGGAATGGTCTTAACAAATCCAATGAAATGTGGTCACTGAGTTGGACTTAGGAGAGAATACAACATCATAAAGGGTCACTAAAGGGTCTAGCTATTTTCAGAAAAGTGAGTAAGTTCAGTTCATGGTAGAATAAAGAGGGCGGTATGCAGATGAGAAGATTTGAGCCCTTGGATCTGTTGTTTTTAGGTTTTGCAATAATAAGCACAGCACTCTCTTGATTTCCCCTTCAACTAAGACTATACTTCACTTCCCCTGCTAGCAATTAGTCTCCAGAATGCTATTTGTCAAAAGCCAAGCCATTCGTTTCCACTGGTCTGCCCCTGCCAGCTCTTGTTACAATTGACTGTTTCCTGCGTGGAGAAAACAGAAGCCCTGGGAGGAAGGAGAAGGCCCAGCAGCTGGCTAAGACCCTATTCTGACAATGTGCAGAGATGAACATTGACTGACCAGCAGAATGAGATGATAAATTTGTTGTAAACAAATCAAGAATCTGCCACAGCCAGACATTCCCGCTGCTATAGTATGAGACGCATCACAATTAAACATTTCAGCATTTGGGATTTAGGGCAATGCTGAAAATAGGCCAATTACTGAACGACACCTATTGATTTTTGGACATGACGAAAATGAATGTGAAGTAAATGTGCTGTAAACAAATACGATGAGGGTGGTGACTCAATAAAGCAATGAGACCCGCACCGGCTGACAGAACCATCAAATGTAGCAACACAAAACCCCCCGAGGTCTAACATCTACACCGCACAGTGCCATTTTTCCTCAATCTTTCCAATGATTGCAGATATGGCATTGGGGGCACTTCGGTGACTCCCCACTGAGGTAAGAAAACCTTTTCTATCTGGGTTACACGGGACCTGAAGAGCCATCAAACAGCCAGACATTTTCTCTGTAAATCACCAGCGTAGAGGGGAACTTTTGAGAGTGCAATTAACAACCTCAAGGTCAGACTTCTCTAGAGAGTTAGCTTTGAAAAAAAATCCTCAGGCGCTCCCTCTTTCCTCTCTCTTTTGCTGTTATCCTCTTAGCTACACATGCTCCCTCCATCTCCCTTACCCTCTTATCCTCCTCTCCACACATGTTCATTTCCTCCACTCTTTTTCCTTGTTACTCCCTAGTCACCTTTTTTTTTTTGCCATGCCTCCAAGCCTCCTTCCTCTCCTCCCCTTATCTCCATTACAGATAAACGTTGCTTTGTGGACGGTTGCGACACGGTTTCTTCCCCAGAGTACAGCAGCGATGGAAATGAGTCGCAGGTGTGCAGATGATGAGAGTCATGGATCTTAATCTTGAAGCAATAACGCTGCTGTGTGCGCTGTAGAGGTTACTATAAGGATATCATGTCTGCTCCTAAGAATAAAGTTCCAATGTTCCTGATTGTGTGAGCCCACTTTATGAATTGAGCTGAAATGGATTATTGTTTTTTTGATGTCCTTGGTTTTGCAGTTATTTTGATTTAGCACTTGACAAGCAAACAATATATCCTTAGATGTTGAGGACCAGGCTTTGAAGTGCAACACACAAAATAATTAGATGTCAAGTCTGTGCTCCAGATATTGGACTTTTCATTAAAACATGAGAAAGCCTGTGAGGCTGAGAAAGGATGAACTGGCTGACCTTTAACTATGAGGACATGTCAAAGAAAGAAACATTGAGTAAGAGGGTAAATTGTGACTCTTAACCTCTGAAGAAACCTGGAGAGGCTAGGTTCTTTAATACCAGCTATTAAAACTAAACTGAAGGCCAAACTTATACACTTTATACACAAGCAGGAAGATGAATTTTAATAAACTAAAACTTGCCCTAAATTTTTTTGAGTTATTGTTGACATAAAGCTATGCAATGGCCACACACCCAGGACATGTTTGATTGTTTCAATGTTTTAAACAAAGGTATTAAATCATGTCTGAAGGAGAAACAACATTGTTCTCAAACCTAAACACACATGAGCTCACAAATGTCTGTCCTATATTTTTCTCTCTGTAACTGTATTTTATCCCTGCTGCATTCATAACTGTGCTGTATTTATAACTGAACTGTTTTCTTTTTCTCACCCTTTTTATCTTTATCTCTGTTGTTTCTAAAAGCCTCCCGTGGACAGGTGTTGCAAATTAGAATTTTGCTATAAACACTAAGAGCAGTGCATCTGGAACTTGTGCATGGTTAAATGTTACAGCACCAATGTTACTGTATGTCCATGTTAAATAAACAAACAAATAAACAAATAAAGGTGTCCCCCTACACCCCTATTTTTTCTTCACTACTGGTTTGGATAAGATTAAATCAGAGTATAGACATGAATACATACTGCTCAATATACTGTATGTCACCTAAAGCAAACAATTAATACTTAGCCTTGATACAAGATAGCAATCCAAAAGCAAATCTAACATCTGCTCTTTGATTGTTTTGACTTAGTATGGGGGGTTTTGGCTGTCAATTCTCATAATCATAATACACCAAAAATGTCTTGATTGGCAAAATGAAAACATGATGTTCTCTGGCACATCACTATTGACATTTTCTCTGTGGAGACTCTTGGATGTGTTACTGAAATTTGGCGTGCGCAAACACTAATAACTGGAAAGACGGTTAGCTTTTGAAAGGTCACGGTTTCTCTTTATATCATCATTATTGTATGTTGGAGGGTTGAATCTGATTTATAAGACATTCCCCATGGCTTTTCTTCTTGTCAAATTGTCTCATTAAGAGGATAAACTGCAGCTCTGTTTGTAAAGAGATTGTCCCTGAACTGAGGCATCAAGCCGAACTTGTGCAAGGGCAGAGATATGATCAATAAGTCATTCCACAATAACCGTAGAGATACAATATTAAAGCAATCCCTATGCAGGGAGGTAATTATGGAGGGACAGGTGTAAAACTTCGGTCTAATCCATGGGATGGATCCCTTTTAAAAAGAGATTTTTCCTCATAATGGGCAACAAGAGAGCTCAAAATCAATGATTCATCAGCAAATAACTATTAAATTTAAAGGAGGGCTCAGGAAGCAGTGATAAAGCGGCGCATATAGGCGACTTTTACGGTAGTTTTGCAGCAAGTCGTCATTGATCGAACTCCTCCAGCTGCACAAGGACGAGTAATAGGGAGTGATGTTCGATAATAAGTGCAGTGCTTTACAAGGTATTAGTGTTTCACATTTAATAGTGAGAGTGTTGTTGCTTTACTAGATGGCTCTCTGCTGCCATGCACTGCTGCCTATTAATGTTTAATTGCCCCATTGTGGACCAATATCGTTGGCAAATTATGCTGACCATCTTAAAATAACATTTGTGTTGCAAAGAGAATTGCTGAATGTGTACGGGAACAGGTCATGCATCACAGCATAATCATTTATTTGTATAATGACCTGTGTCACATATTGCAGGATCAGATGGATGAGAGTAATAGATGTTATACCACACACACATTTAAATCATTTTTTCCTCTTAATTCATCTTTGATTAAAGTATGCCTAACTCTATAATGCATTTGCTACGGAGCAGAAAAGACACAGGAGGGTAACTGATGCAATTCTCCACGTTAAGCTGACCCTCATGGCCTTTGTGTCCATGTGGGAAACCAACAGTAGCATACCATTGAAATAATTTTAACCATGACCATAATTGCGTCAGCCAGCTAAAGCAACAGCTTGGGATTCCTCCAAAAATGATCATTTGCACACACCCTTTCAAGTTTACCACAGAGATTCAATCTTACATTGAAGACATCTCAATTCAAAATACTGACCCTGATGTGGGGAGTAACATAAATTATAGCAAATGATAAAATATGCATACTGTATGTAATGGCACAAAAGTGAACTCCTGTCATGTAACATTGCAGTCAGAGGTCTGCCAAAATGGCCTCGAGGATTACATTTTTTTTTCTAAATCATCCAATATAATCTCTGTCCTATTTATGAGATGACATATCTATTTCATAAACCTTCAATGAACGTTGCAAGTCTGAACTCAAGCCGAACTCCCTCAAGGACACAAATCGGACCGACGGTGACACAGAACTTGTGTGCTCGTACATCTGCACGGCCTCATAAACTAACGAATACACCATGCACGGAGGGAATCTGTCCTACCTGGCGTGAGGGACATCGATGCTGGAAGAGACCACTTTGCGTTTCTGCTCCAGCAGTGACACTGATCGGGTGTCAGGGTCCCTGCTGGTGCGCTTTCCGTCTGCCAACCGAAGCTCCTCTGCTGCCTCTGGGCTGAGGGAGCCGCCTTCCACCTTCTGGCTCTCTGGAGCTCCGTTACTGAAGCTCTGCTAGAGAAGGGTGTGAAGAAGAACAAGTCAATGACTGGGTAGAGTAATCAACTAAGTACCAATGCCGATATCAGAAGAACTAAAGTTTTTTTTTTACTACAGTGAGGCATGTGTTGTGCATTGATAATGGAAGCAAAAAAAAGAAGAAGAGTAATACTCAGAACAATGCCCATTTAAATTACCTAATAAAAAGTTACTGAGAAAGTAAACAGAAAAAATAAAAAGACTGATTCCTTAACGCAGCAACAGGTTTAAATTTAGGGTCTGGGTTTTGGATCAACGTTTGAAACCAAGGTTTGGAGGTTTTTAATTTTTATATTTCAAATGACAGCACACATCGTCCAATATGGTTTATGAAACAGTTCCTGCCTCTCGAGCTTTGAATAGCCTTTTCAAAACAGAGGGGAGAGTGCACATTGGTTAGTTGCAAAAAATAAGCGGGTGTTTTTTGGCTAGACATTTTGCATATGTGAGGTTTACAACAGAGAAACTGCAAGATACTATTCTACTGTTATACTTTATTTTTTTGACATTTCAAACTAACTCAGGGGGAAAAAATAATAAAATACAAGTAAAGACATTGCAACGTACAATAGGAATAATTGTGAATCACTTAAAATGACCCTTTCAGAGTTTAACAATGTTTTCATAAGCTAGTCACTGTTCTATCTGGGTTTAGCATGAGCATGTGAGCGCGACACAGCGATACAAATCGTGATGCCTACATGCTGCTGGTTTGAAATGATTGAATTGATTATAGGAGCAGCAGCACAAAACAAAAGAAGAGATGTTTGTCTGTTAAGTTTGAGCCACATTAGCTTAGTGAGAAGCTATTCTTCCTGGGGTCTGTTTACAATGTGACATTACAATTAGATTAGATTGTACACAGCTTTAAGCTTGGAAACATTTATGTAACACTGGACAACACTTTTTAACCCTTTTAAATGTTGCTTCTGCAGGTCATTGTTGTCATGTTTGACAGCTTGATTTGTGATTTAAAGCTCTTCATTGGGTAAATTTGAATGAGCTTCAAATTCTATTTGCCAACACATTTCTAATTGGGGCTGATGTTTACTATTAACAGTGCAACAGTTACTGTAAAACCTGTACAACCTTTAGGTGTACAGCCTAAAGAATCGGAGTCCATCCTTTGCTCCTCTGAACACCCAAATAAACACACAGACATATTCCTTAGAGCAAGACATCATTTTCCCGCCACACACATCTACCAACAAAAACTACTATTCACTGACACAGAGGCAATAACAAAAGAAAAGCATCTCTCTCATCAAAGCGCTCAAAAAACGCCTACCTGTAACAAAGTAAGAAAAAAAGGCCGCCCAATATCATCTCTTCTCTTACACAACAGCAAAGAATGGCATCCTGCTACACATGGATACCTGCATGTACCTATGCACACACCAACACACAGACAAATCACTCTAGGTGATTAAGGCCATCAGACTCTTAGAAATACATTGAGAAACACCAAAAGACATCCAGAGTTGCACACATGGCTGCCAGTGTACACAAAGCATTGAGGGGTAAGTCATGTAGGCCAGTGTGTATGTGTGTTTTTTACGTTTGTGTGTGTGTGCGCATGTGTGTGATCCTAATCACTATCTCAAAGCACTGTAACACGATTAGGCTTGACTGTGGAAAAGGCAATGGCACCCTAGTCAATCACTCACACATACATGCACACAAACACCAGGAGAACAATTAACTTAGATTAATGAGGTAAAAAAAAGACCGGAGAAATGAGTATCCCGCATCCCTTGTGATGGAGGCCGATCCCATGAACACTCAGAGGTCTGCAGAAGGGCTCCGTGAAAACACAGACTTCAGTAATAACAACAAGATGGATCACAACTGCTCCAGGAAGATTAGGTGTTGTGTGTAGGACGAGTGTACTCCACAGTGATAAGGCTCGTGAATGATGGCATTTCATGGAGAAAGGAAATTATGAGGCATATCAAATCAGTTGTGAAATTTGAGCTGCATGTGTCAGAGCTGGTGTCATGTGTACAGAGCAGGTACCCCCAAATACCCCTCCTCCCCTCTTTCTTTCTTTCTCTATCCCACTTACCAACACTCAGGCAGAAACTCATAACCTGCTTGCTTTGGGCAGTTTGTCAAGAGTAAAGATTCTTGAACATTTATGGGTCAAAGTTCATAATAAAGCAGGCTGACATAATAAAGCAGGCTGACATGGACCATAAATTGAATCCCATGGACCAAAAGTCATAAAAAACCCACCGACTGTGTCTCCCTGCTCATATGGTTTTTTGTTGCTAGGAAGTATTTGTATTAGCACAAAGAGTAAAAATACTGTGCATTAGGAATGTTAATGTTAATCACGGCTCTCACGCTGCACTGACTCAGCCTAACATGAACTTTTCAAAAATAACATGGGACTAATTCTGTTTTTTCCCCCTGTTTCTGTTTTTATATAAATATATAGTATATATATAGACAGGAAATGTGGGAGAGAGAGTGGAGGCTGACTAAATGGCATCAGGACTGGGAAGTGAACAAGTTGCAAAGCTGCAAATGTAACAGTACACAAGAATGTGTAGTGAGTTGCAAACAATAAATAAACTTCATGTACTGTAGCCATAATTATAGTTTAGTATTAAAAGTGATTATGAGAGTATTAGAGCCTAAGAGGTATATTTTTGATGATATTATCTGTGATCTCCGTTCTTGCTTCTGCTACTTGTTTTGTACCAACTGAGGTCCAAATCTGATTGATCGAAAAATATCAGAAATCTGGGTCCCGATTATCCACGGAGGAGTTGGTGGTGGGTCCTGAGGCAAGACGAGTTGAGGACATGTTTTACTTACTCTTTTGAGTTTAAGAACCCGCCAACCTCTTTAAGAGCAGTGTATGATTCTCTCATTATATTAATGTTTGCCAAAAGTGTATGTCGTCCCACTTTCCCTCAATTTTAATTTTGTTTTCTCCTGATTGATTTTAAACTAATTCTCCTTCATTGTACTGAACTGCCTCTCCATACCTGCCTGTTGAATCTCTCTTATTCCTGTTGTTTGCATTTTTACAATGTTGCCCTCTCTGTTTGGCCCCTCTGTTGATCTCTGTTCTGTTGTCATGTTGCTGTATTTGCTTTGTCTGTCACAGCACTTGTTTTTAAAGGTGCTATATAAAGAAAGCTATTATTATTATTATTATTATTATGTGTGATCATGTGACGCACATTTTGCTCAAACTACAGGCCTGTTACAATATTGAGGAAAAACTGCAATTAGATATTCTATTCAGCCCCAAATTACACCCTTGTAATTGCATTTAACTCATGCAATGTTAATTTAGTAGTTTTGAACTATTAGAGACATACATACTAAAAAGACCCTTTAGAAAAAGAAACAATGGAATAGAAATATTTGTGTAAAAATCTGTGATTGTGCATTCATGGCCTGCAATACTCTTTACCCCTAAAGATTACTTATACATCAGCACAGTGGGGGAACAGCATCCAGACTTGACCCTGTGGCCACTGTGCTTCATGCTGATGCTGCTCAGCCAACCAATAAGGACAGCCGACGCCGGCCTGCCTGGGACCAGCGCTTCAGAACAAAGAGTCACTCAGCTCCTGTCAACAAGCTTGCTTCATTGACTCCCACGACGATGGCGTACAATCAACACAAACAACTGCAAGGACGACAAAAGGAGCCAGCAAAACAAAAACAAGTAGCGCCTCTTTGTTTGCAGCGACAGATCTGTGTAAAACTGCACAAATCAATGAGTCAACAAGTGGTATCCCACTACCCCCCCCCCCTTCTCAAATCAAAAACGGGGCATTCTGGGCAATAAGCCAAGCATCCAGATTCTTTAGAGGATGCCGCCCATTGCCAACCTGGGGGTGCCCGCTTTGTTGGCTGTACAGCAGCTGCTAAAACGGGGCGGCATGCCCTTACAAACAACCCCCAGTTCCAAATGTTTAAAGTGGCCAGCTCTCACTCACTACACATATGGGAACAGAGCACAACCATATTTAATTACACACAAAAAGCGACACATAATCACATGTGAAGCCACATGCACACACACAGCAGACCCCTCCTCCTCATTTTATGGCTTGTTTTCGACCTCAGTGGGAACCGGGTGTTGAAAGAGACTTGACCATTGTGCTGACAGGAGCCCGCTCTCAGCCCCAGCTGCACCACTCCAGCCTGCTCCGTGACTGTAAGGCATTGTGCGACAGCTTTTGTGAGTGCAGCTCTGCATGCACAATTTCACAAATGCAAAACAACAAAACTCTTTGCATTTCTTATGTTATTTTCTAGCTGCTGCATTTGCCCTTGTTAAGGTCCTACCTTTCTGTGTGAACTATCAAAACTTGTTTTTTTCCCCCCATTTCTAATTTTCGCACACAGGAAATGTAAGCCAGCATGTGTGATAATGCAAAGTGGAAAGTCAAAAATACAGCCTGTTGAGATACTTAGTCAATAATGTCTCAAAATGTTAAACATAAAATAAGGAGACCTAAACCGGCATACTTAAAAATTTAAGTCTAAGACTGTAAACAAGCCATTATTCAGTCACATGCTTTTCTCACTCCCTCACTAAAAAAAGGACGGAAAAAACACAAACACACACATCTCCCCAATGCCAGATTACTGTGATTTCATCCAAGATCTGCATTGTCTCCTCTTCCTTACACAATCTACATCTGAGGCCATGTGACACTAAGACATGCAAGGATTTGAAAGCAATCAGGTCACTGCCAACTGAGTCCAAGTCACGACTACAAATTTGGACATCATCAGAACTTCCTATTCTGCCTCTAAGGCCAAAGGAAGCCCACAATTGTTGTGTGTTTGTAACACAACAAGAGCCTTTGTGCAGAATAAAGCCAGATCATATTAAAATCACAAGATGCAATTTCAATCAGTGGAAATGTCCATAAATATGGCAGTTCCTTCCATTGCATTCAAATGTGCAATAACAAAGATAGGCTAAAATGATGTGCAATAATAAATATGATATGTACAGTTTAAGCCCATGTGCAAAATCCTCACACCGGCTCTTTGCATTGGTTCAAAACGCTGCAGTCAGAGCGTGTTTGTTTGCCTCGGCTTACCCACCCACATAAACATTGCGCAGGCCTTATCAAGCCCTTTGTCCCATATATATCTAATGTCGCAAAATGTCATGACAACTCCTTTTATTAATACGATATGCATGCAAAATAATATCGTAGTTTTTTTCTGAATAGCGATGTTATTGCCCCAGCTGTTTACATCTTCAGTGTGTAGAGAAGAGAAGGGCAGCGGCGGTGCATGAAGCGGTTAAACGCTGCAAAACACCGCACAACAACAGTGAAGCGCAGCTGCCGGCCGGGGCGATTTACCCGCGCACACACACTCACACACACACACACATACACACACACATACATACATACACACCTTCAAGCTGGATTTGAGCGGTCCTTTGACTGCATTGTGGTTGAACCCAGCGGCTATTTCTTCCTCGGTGAACTCCTTGAGGCTCCCGTCCTGCATGAGCACCGTGTAGACGCTGCGCCGGGTTTCTGCGGCCGAGGACACGTCTCTGTTTTCCTGCTTCACCGCCTGGACCACCCCTGACACCGGGGCACCGTCCCCTGTCGGACTCGGCGCATAAATGCGGCTACCGAGGATCGACCGCTTCACTAAACGCCTCGTTTGCATGTCTATAGCTGTCTCGCTGAATGTAAAAACCGGCGAACCGGTGAATTTTAGACCATTAAACGTCGAGTTATAACCGGGTAAACAACGTCGAGAAAAACAGAAAACCGCAGCGGGTAGACTACCTGCTCCAACAGCCCGGATAAAATGTTAGAAAGCGACAACATACTCGGGAGGAGAGAACTCCAAAAAAAAGCACCGGACTCAAAAACGTCGGGAGAAGTTTGAACAAGCACCGGACTAACAGCTCACAACACGAAAACGATTCATTCCCCGCCTGACAACCTCCACATCCAACCGGCTACCAATCCTCCACCGCGGCTCGACCTGTTTGTTTTCCTCCCTGCTCCCTGCGAGCAGAGCCGGGTGGCGGGAAAACACGGAGCCCCGTCAACCACAGGAACCGGAATGACATTTGTACACGATTTAACTACATGGCGGCTTGTGCGCGATACATTTGATTTGGTATTGAAGAAAGGAAGAAAACACGTCGAATAATTTCACCTCACTCAATCCTGTACACTGACATGCATCAACACACGTTTAACACGGTGGTAACCACGGCCGTTATCTGACTCCAGCTCCGGTTGCTGCGTTATCCAGTCCGGGCGAGCCTCCGACCGGGTAGAGCCTCTACCGGCGGAATGCTGCCTGTAAACATGTGCGGTCCGGCGACGAAGGCGGGCTGCCATTGGTCGGCTCAGTACACGCCTCCACAAGCCCCCACCGCCTCCCCCCGACAGAAGGCAATGCAAGCCGGGAGGATGCTCCATTCAAAACAATGACGCAAGGATGTAGAGGAAACGAGAAGGGAGGGGGTATAGCAGGAGAGAAATAGAAAAATGAGAATTTAGGCTAAGGAAAGGAAAACTTCTGAGACAGACAAGCTACAACTTAGTTGTTAAAGGCGTGCGGCCTACTTTCCAGGTGCCATGGGATTCCTAAATTACTGTGATCTGGTTCTGAAACAGAAGTAATACACTGGTCTATTTTTGAGAATGTAAACAAAAGGACCAACTACTTAATTTCTTAAAGGTATTTTTTAATTAAAAAGGCTTTTTATTTTTTGCATAATGCCTTAATTTGAACATGATCAAATAGTCTGCACTTTATGTGTACGCTATTAAGGACTTTATTTGCCCAATTAAATTTCAGCTGACGAATTTAGCAAGTACTGTATTTAGCTAGATGCAAATTTAGGCTTCAATAGCCTATATGTGTGATCCTATGTCAGGCTAGGCACAATGCTTCCTCTTTTTTTTTGCTGCAGGGTAATGACAATAACAAGCCAGCAGTCAAATTTAACTTTTTCTGTGTTGTGTGTTACAAAACAGAAGTCTCAGGCGGCTGGCACTCATGAAAGCTTCATTCTGCACTTAAAAAAAGGGAACATGAAATGTAATCTCAAGCTGTGACAATAGTCGATGCGGTATGAGACACAATATATCAAATCTGAATGTGTGCCTTCTCGTTAGTGACATACAATGCTTTGATAAATCAAAGTTTACCAGGAGAAATCCAATGGGATTATCCCCCCAGTGTGGCAGAGCGAATGTCCCAACCAATGTTATCACAGTAACAAATGGCCTAATTAATGTCAAACCTAATGTTTTGAAAAAAATCACATTCCGCTTACAATCTTTTAACTTGACAGCAACCCGAGTGGATAAAAAGACAAGATGGCTGGATTTATTATATATATATATTTTAATAGAACAATTCATGTCATAAAATATTTACATGCAGAGAATGGAAAAGCAGAGTGGAGAGACAGATGTGGCCATAATTTCCAAAGCAGGCTATGCCCTGTGATCAAAGGCAGATGTCAACGTTGATGTTGTCTGCTGGTCGTAGGGGGAACAAATAGTCTCATTAGCGGAGCTGAAGGAGAGGCAGCACAGGGACATCTCTGAACCTCCACCACACCTCCAAGAGGATTGTGTTTTTAAGAACAAGATAGACAGCTAGAGAGAATGTGTCATCCTGGGGTAAGTATCTATTTATTAACTGTGTCTATGTGTGCTTGTTGTCCTGATTAGATGTGGCACCATAAACGTCCACTTTGACAGATTATTTCCTTTGAGGTCATTTAAAGCCATCTGTGATGACCATTATATCTGAATGATGGCACCATCTTGATACACAGGCACATCGCTTGGTTGAAATAATCACTACATTTTTGCTGAGGGGAACATAACAATGATAATTACTCTTTGCAAAAATGAACAGAATTTTTGAGGGGGTTCATCTACCCATTTTTACATCATAGAATTATAGTACTAGATTCCATGAAGAAATCCTCTGCCGAGAGATATAACAGAATTTCAAATGTCTGATATCATTAATGAATCTAAAACCAGTCGGTGTGGGCTCGCTCTGTTTGTCTGAGGCGACAACAAGCTCCGGCATGTCTTATGAAACTTGAACCAGAGCTGGAGTTGTTGTAGTGCTGTAATATTATGCTGTGGGTGGAAACAGATGACACCAATAGTTCTGCAAATGGTTGAGATACTGTAGCAGAGAAAAATATTTACAGCAAAAAAAAAAAAAAACACATTTCCATTGAAAACGAACAACAGTAATGAGGCATTCAATTCAGTTCTTTAAATAAAAGTACCACACTTTCTTAAAATGCATGTACCAAAACATTGTACCATATTTCTGACATGTGATTGGTTACATTATTTTGGAGAAGCAGTACAAGATAAAAAGCCTCCAAAGACAATATGAAATTCACATCTCCTGAAAACAAGCCAGACATATATCAGTGCTCTGAACAGAATTATTCTAAAATGATACCACTCTGGACGTAAGCGCACCTAAAACTTCCAGCGAGTAAAAGTTGGTTAAAGTAGTGCTCTAATTATATACTATACAAGCCTCGGTTGGCATGTCGTCGGTACAACCTACAAACAGATATGTCGCCCCCCCCTCCCCCCCCCCCAGAGTGCTACTATTAGGTTACAAAGCATTAAATATTCAAATTGTGCAGAAACATTACTGGATTGTGGCGATGCTTTCATAAATGCAGTACCATGATATGAAAAATTGTGCTTTAAAAATCATCCGGGATGCCAACTCAAGACTGTACAACTGTACCAAAAGTAAACGCCAAAGACACTCTTTTTTTTATAGCATTACACGGGTTATGGATTTGATTTGACTACTGAGCAAAATGAAAAAAAAAAAACGTGTTCTCATCCTATGCATTTCATAAAAAAAAACTATGTATAAAAAAAATGAGGGGAACGCGTACCTTTACAACTGTTATATATCACAGCTTACTGTCTTTTCCTATCTCAATGAAAATGCTAGAAATGTCTAAAGAACCCTACTTACTCTTCTCTCAGACATACTGTGTAACATTTCACAATTACACGGCAATATGTATCTTCAAATAAATAAGAATTTGACCAAAAAAAGTGTTGAGAAACACTTTCTGAATGTATAGGGAAACTGGGAGCTTGAGTGACATTTAGTTTCTACCTTCATATCTCCTGCCCCATATGTTTTTAAAGCCATTACTTTTGCTGAGAGTAGTCCCAATAAAAGACAAATGTATTTAGCTGTCAACAAGGCAACATTTGTACTTGATGGTGTAATCTAACAAAGGCTATATTTGTTTTAAGACCTCACAGGAACAGAAAGCAGAGATTGCACAGTGGAGGTGTTGCCAACCAGACACAAAGACGCCTAAAAATACACCATCTGACAACTCAATAAAACATGACACTGAGTCACCTGGAGGAAGCTGAACAGTCACTAGCAGCTGCAGAAATACCAACAATGTTACCTTCATATGTACAGTAAGTGCAATGGATTTCATGATTATATGGCACTGATTTCTTGGGACACAAACACCTTCCTTAGCTAACCCCTTACATTCGGCAGGAGGGTTCGATTATTATTAGTCATCTTTCTTTTTAAATTAGGTATTAATTCATGTGTCCATGGCACTCTTCCACATAATTAATGCCCGATAACTGGAGGTACTACAGTTCCTTTTCTGGTACCAGTATTTGTGACATTCACCCTGGTTGATAAATTAAAAGTTCAGATATGATAAACCGTACCCAAGCTGTAAAGAGGACGCTCATGCCTTGATGATGTTTTAGAACCATTTTCTGCGTTTTTTTCCCCCCAAAGTCATGCTCCAAAAGCATGCTGGGTAGCAGGTTCAAAGCACTACAGTGATGTCTGTAAAAGATGCCAGTAAGGAGGGTGATTTAGAGACGGGATGCTTCCCTGCTCAAACCCAACTCTCCAACACTCTCGTAATCAGGCTCCGTTTGTGCAGCGTCCGACCCCTCGGCCCCGAGCCCGACCCCGTGATCATCGTCTGAGCTGCTCGTCTTTGGCATGCGAATGGTTTCGTAGCAGGGGTCCGTGTTGTCCGAGAGGGGGTCTTCCCCCGGTCTGGACTCGTCGGGCTGGGTATAGATGTCTCTGACGGTGGCGTAGAGGTCACTGGAGGAGGAATTGGGGACCAGACCTTTGAGCTCTGCGATGCTGCTGTAGTCGTGCTCTTTGTCTTCCTCGTTCAGGGCATCATCACCGTTTGTTTTGTTGACTGTAGAGTACACTGCAGACTGTAGGACACACAGGAAACAAGATTCATGTGAAGAGCCATGAGTAATACTATAGAATGTTAGATTAACAGTATAACAGGCTCAGGGGACATTTTTCTACTTGTACTTTAAGTACATTTTCATGATTATAATTAAAATCTTAACATTATCACTTAAATAAAAGACATGTACTGTATACTGCATCTCGTATGAATTGTTATGGACATTGCTTCATTTCATTAGAAATAGAAATTTAACCAACAAAGAAGAAATTCACAGATGCATTAGTGCCAAAAGCTCCCTGCTAGGTTTCCCATCATAGCCTAATGTTTGATGTAGCATGACTATTCACCAGTTTTTTTTTTCTTCTTCTCTTATCTTTTCTGTGCTCTCAGCATTGGCATTCACAGTGTAAAGTGCTGCTGTCTCGGGACTGGAAAAACTGCAGTTTGGGGAATAAGGGAGCTTAACACACACTTACCTCATTGTCAGACAGAATGTGGTTGTGGAACCCCGGTGCAGGAGACAGAGGGGAGTGTAACTGGAGGAGAAAAAGAACAAAAAGATAGATTTAGATATGGCAGTCGGTGTGTGAAAAGAAAAGCCTGAGTGCAGAGTCAGCCGTTTTTTTGTAACAGACCTCGGGGCGACAAAGTGGATGCTTATTCTCTTGTTAGAAACATTTGAGGGGTTGTCACACATGTCTGTGTTAAGATAATTTGGTGACATCTCCATGTTGAGTTCAAATGTTTCTATGATAATGACAGCAGCAAACTGTGGTGTTGTAACAGAACATTTTGTTGCAACTTTGAGGGAGTGCAATTAGGAAGTGACAGTTTTTTATTTAGACACATTACTTTAAAATGCTGGCAAACTAAAGACAAGTTACATACCAACATACCAACCGATGGAGAGTCTCTGCACATGTCTTAAAAGAGCACATGGTAAGTAATCAATACGTGTACTATGGAACTATTCCCAG